TACCTAACATGCAAGCTTAATTATCAGCTATAATATTTACTTATCAAGGAATATTAAAATGAAAAAAATATATGCAAACTAACCAGCCAAACTATGGGTTAGGGTCAAAATATGTTTAAATCTAAACAAGCTGTATACTAGCTCTAGTTATTAGAGCAATATCGTCTTAATTAAATTAAATCTAAATTAAAGGTGGGGAGACACGAGGGCGTTGGTGAATTTCGATAGTTTTCTATATGCTTTTTCTTTGATTCAAACTTTGATATTGAAAAAATTGTAAAATTAATTAAATATACAATTATTAAAAAGGAACTCGTACGTACAATTTTTATTTATTAAATTCAAAAGAAAGAATATTGTTTTAAGAAATCCAAGTTTCATTTCATGCCACCTGAACTAATAAATAATAAGTAGTGACCAAAAGAGAATATATAAGTTATCTTTTTACTTTCATTAATAATAGGAAAAATGATAGAAAAATTTTCTAAAAATATGTAAATGACAATGTGGTCCCACAATTGTGATAATTATTCTCAACTCTTTGGAAAATTTTTGACATTTTGTTTAAATGAATAGAATAATCTCAATTTAAAGTAAAAAAGAAATGGAAGAATGATTAAAAAATTTGCAAGATGAAACTTGTCATTTGGTATCATATTTCAGTCATTTTCAAAAAAAAAATAATAATTACTTAAATCAAAATAGTCACTATATTTATAACGTTTGGACTTCAGTGATTAAAAATTTTACAAAGAAAAAGTTTTAATTAGTTATCTCATTTTAGTAAATGATAGAAGATTAAACTAAAAAGTTACTAATATTTATAATACTTGAACTTTAGTGATTAAAAAGAATAAATATGTGTTTTTGCCACTGAAATATTTTCCAAGAAGTATCCAACCCTCTAAACTATTTGGTGTAGCATTTTTGCCCTTAAATCAATTAAAATATAGTATTTTTCACCCTGACATTAAATGCTTACAAATATCCGTTAGATAGTTAAATTACCTTTTCTTTGCCCCTAAAGTAATTAAAACATAATATTCTCTACCCTAACGTTAAATACTTACAAATATTCATTAGATAGTTAAATTACCTTTTCTCACATCACATTAACAATCATCATTTATTATTTAATGCTGGGGTAGAAAATATTATATTTTAATTACTTTAGCAACAAAAATGTTATACCAAATAGTTTAAGATGTAGGTTGCTTCTCAAAAAATACTTTAGTGGTAAAAAAATACACCTTTACCAATTCAAAATTTGTGCAGCAAAACTTGTTATTTGCTATTTCATTTTAGTCATTGCTAGTATATATTAAAAGTAGTCATTACTGAAATTAAAATACTTATTGATATTTGAAATTGAGATGATTATAGTCAACTTACAAAAGACATTGATGCCCAAAAGGTTCAAAAGATTTTAAAAGAATTATCAATTTTGGAGGACCTTATTGGCATTTATATATTTTAGAGAGATTTTTTATCATGTTCTGTTAATAATTTTATTAAACATTATTTCTCTCTCTTCCACATGTTCTCTCTAATGAATATGTTTATATTTTTTTGGAAGAATAGTCAAAAATATTATTAAACACAAATAAAAAGATTATTGCACAAATAATAAGTATTATTAATATTAAAAACAAATATGTTTATTAAACGCTGAGTGCATGCTAGAAATTGACCAAATCAGTAATATTCTTTCACACGACTATATTACTATATTAATTATTTTCTAGATGGGAATGCGGAATAATTAATATATATATATATATATTCAAATGTGAAAGTTAGTGAAAGTTTACACGTCCAATACAATGCACGAACTAACAAACACATGGTTAATATATACTCTCCTGATTTTTGTAGAATATTTTCAATGGTTTCATATATTTTAAAAAAATTAGTTTTTTATATAATAAAAAATGAGATGTATTTTTATTTTTACCTTAACCTTAACAACTACATTAAATATCTTTATACTAATCAAGAAAGTTTGTAAAAGTAATTTAATTATTACAAGGTGTTTTACATTTTAGATAAAAAGTTACTTCTAGAAAGTGACCTTCAAATAAGACCAAAGGAATTAAAGATAAATATTTAAGTGGCTTTTGTACAGATAGTCCATATTATAAGACCAAGTAAAAGAAATAGCCTATCATTTCTTCTTTCAAAAATAGCCTTTTTAATATTTAAATTATAATTAATTTACAAAATTGCTCTTTTTAATATATGCTTTTTTCAAATACCAAGAAATTCAAAATGCAAGAAATCTCTAGAATGAGAGAGACAAATGTGAGAGAGAACAACGTGAGAGAGACGAACGCGAGATAATAGGGTAGTGTAAGTGAGCCACAGTCACAATAGCAAGAGACAAATGCAAGGTGAGATACAACGATAAAAAAGAGCATGCTAATGGGGAAATGAAGCTACAGATTCATGATTTTTATTTTATAAGTTTAGGTATTTTGATTTTCTACAATAAGCTAAGAGTCCAAAATTTTTTATGAACTATATTTGATATGTTTTGAGCAAATGATTATATAATTTTTGTGTTACTGATATGTGATACTATATCATTGATATACGACTGTATATCAATTATAAATAAATTTATGTCTAAATATTTGGTTATGTTGATATACGATAATATATCAGTGATATACTATTATATATCACTGATATATAATAGTATATCACTGCTATCTATGCCATATCAGCGAAAATTTATCAATTTATTTATCATTGATATATAATCGTATATCTATGATGTAGTATCGCAAATCAATAATGGAGTTTTCTCTTTAATGTCTAATGTCCTCTTTATAATATTTGGAAAAAATAGAGAAGAAAAGAGAGAAAAAGCTCTACGATGAAGATAGTGATCTAAAAAAATCATATCAAAATTCTGACGAAGAAAAGCACTATGCGAGAAATGAATATGATGATCCAGAAAAATTAGATCAAAAAATTTGATAAAGAAAATATTAGAGATAATTAATCAAAGATGGAGCACGCACAATATGATTTTTTATGATAAAAATAAAAGATCCAGTCAGTTAAAGATTACTTAAATCACATATATTCTATTTTTAATAATAAATTTATTCTGAAGATAAAAAAAACAATACATCTAATTGATTTTTTGAATAGGTCATATTTTAAAATATTCAAAAACCTCATGCATAATTTATGTGATTTGTATTTTTTGAGACCATTGGGCTAATTTTCTCAATATTTAATTTGTTAAGAAGTTAATTAATGATAATGAAGCGTGCTTATATTATTATTATTATTATTATTATTATTATTATTATTATAAGCTTAGCTCCTTACTAACCAACGAAAAAGGGCATAATCACATTATGAATTCTTCAACTCGCTTAAACCGAATTCTAATTTTTCCTGACAAGCTCAGTTACAAAAGAATAATATATATATATAATATATATATATATATATAATATATATATATATATATATTTATACATTAATTTTTTAAATATTTTATTTAAACATTTATAAAATAGGGTGGGAACTGGATTTTTTTTTACTATTGTTTTCAAAATATGGTTTTCTATGTTGCATACTCTTTTTATTAAAATTAAGCTTAAAATAAGTTTCAATAATCATTTTTCTAAAAAAATTAACTTATTTTTAAATTTTATTAATATTATATATTATATAAAGTGATGTTTAAAATCAACAACTATAATGAGACCTATAATTTATATATTTTAACGTTGAATTTTTAAAAATAAAGGCTGACAATAATAAAATAAAAATTAATAATTTTGATCAAATATAAAAGACCATATATCTATTGAACAATGATCGTACTATATTTAACCAATAAAAAATAGTATGCATTTTGGGGCTAATTTTTTCCAGCGATATAAAATCGTTTCTCTAAAATATAAAATTATAACCGGATCACATTATTTTCCTGCAATGAGTTAATTTAAGTAAAGTACTCTCTCTGTTTCTTATTACTACTATGAGTAATCTTTTAGAAATTTCTTGGTATTTATAATTATTAATATAAAATATTTTACAAAATTTAGTGAAACATATATGAATTATTTTAAAAACATACTCACATATCTGATTCATTCATTCAATTGATACCTTTGACTTTAAGGTTTAAAGTTAGAAGTTATTATTGCAATTTTGAAAAAGTCAAGATTGTTAACTAATTTCAACCACATTTCTTAATTCGTACGAGTACTCGTTTAAAAATATCTCATATATAGGAGATGGGACTGGAAAGTATGGTTTATTCACAAAAAAAAAATTAAATAACTCATATTTTAATTATTAATTTAACAGAATTAAAAAAATCTCATTAGCCGCCGCCATCTTCCGAATGCGTACATACGCCAGGCCATCTTCATTCTTTAAATGAAATTTAAATCGTTCGTGTTTCCTTCATTTGGATTGAGTTAAATATTCATTTTTAAAAATTGAACACATTTTAAAAAAAAATATTGTTGTCAACTCTATATAATATAAAGTCTTAAAAATAAGTCATATTGTTCATAGCTCATGAATAATGTAACTCGTTGAAGTTTTTTAATAATAATAATAATAATATTTTTATAAGTATTTTACCAAAAAAACTATTTTTTATACATATAAGGGGTAGGCTTCAGTCTTCACCGATAGTAAAAAATGTCTCTCCGGAGATATTGAGAGTAATATGTAGATTTTTTTTAACTAAATTGTTGTATACAAAAGAACTGAAATTCAAACCCTAATAATTGACCAGAGCACTTTGCTATCCGTGGCCGTCTTTTTTTTTTTAATAAATGTATTAATCCACATGCATACATATTAATTTATCACGTGAGTTAATTTGTACGTGTATTTGAAATCTTGAATTCAACCAAAACGTGGGAAGAAGAAGCTTCAACGAAATACAAAGTGGCTAGGGTTTTGTTTTTTCAACGTACCAGTCTATAAATCCACGCTCCGCCGACAACACCGACAACTTTATCATCTTCATCGATTCATAAAAGCACACAATCCTCTTCAACAAGATCCATGATTAAGCATTTCAACGAATCATACATGCCCGGATTCAATTATCTCTCTCATCCTCAACATTCTTCCACTTTAGCAGCAATCAGGCAGCACCTTCTCGGCAACGAAATGGCCGACCAGCTGCCTCCATCTTCTCCAGCAACACTTTCCGACGACATCTCATTGCACGGCCAGAGCTCAATGTATGACAGTCATTGCATCAGCGAACTAGTAGTTCCTGATGTTTCCACCATTAATAACAATATCAGTGCAGATGCTGCAGTGGCGCTTGAGTGTAACGCACCTCCAGTTGAGCGGTGCTACCGGGGTGTTAGGAGGCGGCCTTGGGGGAAATACGCAGCAGAGATCAGAGATCCGGCTAAAAACGGCGCTAGGATTTGGCTCGGAACTTTTGATACAGCTGAGGATGCAGCTATTGCTTATGACAGAGCAGCTTATGAGATGCGTGGAGCTAAAGCCAAGCTTAATTTTCCTCTCCTTGTGGGCTCCAACGTGTGGGATTTGGTTCGACCGAGTCGGAAGCGGGGCATGGCCGGCGGCGGCGAGGAGTATTCTTCAAAGCTCAAGCGGATAAGGAAGAGTGAGGCCTGAGGAATGAGAGAGAGATGGAAACTGGTGTAAATGTGGGCTAGGGGTCTCTAATGTGCCCTTCTCTAATGCCTCTTGTAATGTTTTAATTTTTCAATTTTATTTTTTATTTTTCTTTGAATTATTGGCTTCGACATAAAATAAAAAATATTTGGATATCTTAATGTTCCAAAATGGTAAAGATTTATACTTTTTATGATTTTTCAACAATAAAAAGGTGTATTTGTGATATTTTTCTTTAAAAAATTATAAAAAATACAAATATTCACCATTTTGGGACATCAAAATATTCAAATATCTTTTATTTTATGTAGAAGCTAATAATCCAAAGAAAAATAAAAAATAAAATTGAAAAGTTGAAGCATTACAAAAGGTATTAGAGAATGGCACATTAGATGCCCCTAGCCCTGTAAATGTTGTTATTACAATTTAATTGGCTGTATTCTTTTGTTCATTGGGCTCTCTTGGCCTGTTAAAAGAGTGTAAACATCAAAATTACGTTGAAGGTCTCTAGTTTTTACTAGTGCTTTCCCCACATGTTATTATTGGCATTTCCTGAAATTATTACAATAGTTTAAGGTACTTCAATGGGTTTAAATTTGAATTTTAGATTAAAATATTAAATTTAAAATTCTTATATTTAAAATTTTTTATTCGAGTAGTGTAAAAAAGTTTAAGGACGAAAAAAGAAACAAGCTGAGAGTTAAATTGCATAAATGGAATATTGAAATTAAAGTCATGAGCTTTATACATTTGCTTTTCAATCAATGAGAGGCGAGGACAAGGTGATCAATAACAAAGGCACACCAATAGTAAAACCATGAAAAGAATAGTAGGATAAAGGAAGAGCTCAACTTAAAAAATTAGTTTAAGAATTTCTCATACTTATAAATCCCAATAAATTTGTAAGACTTTTCGATATGGGATTCATGATGCGGAGTAGCTGAAATTTTAAATAATTAAAATCTAGAGGGAATTTAAAATTAAAAAAAATAAAACATGGATTTAGATAAACTTATCTAAATGGAAAAATTAAATCAAATCTAAATCCAAATTCTTATGGGTCGAAACACAACATAAAAGGATGTCAGGCATAATCTTTGTCATACAACAAATAATAATCTTTGCCGTATAGAAGCAGCTAGGTCTTTCTTCTAGACTGTTCGAGTGTGGAAAAGTTCTGGTGCAGACTATGGGAGGTACTACGTGAGAGGCATGATCGCCATGGGTCTTGTGTGAGTGGTCTTAATAATAATGGTAATAATGGATGGGCATGTGTGAAAATGATGAAATTTAATTAATCATGTGATTCGTATTTTTATAAGTCGCTTGCTTGCTTTAATTCTTCTTCCCTGGTTTTGTCAATTCAAACAAACATATCATCATGGAGCGTTGAAATGTTAGGTACGGCAAAGAAAATATAGAATAATTATAGTGTAAGTAATGCCTTAACATGTTTGGTAACACCTAATGATCACCATTCAGAATTCTAGATCGGATTAGTTGTGGTGGCTAATAGTCTTGAAAGTATCGGATGCCAAAGCAAAAAAAAGGGGGGGAAATTCTTCGGATTTGGTTAGATAAACATTATTGTTAGTAGTTTTATAGTCTAATTACATAAATGCTTTAGTGTAAGTAAGAGGTTGGGAGTTCAATCACTCTTATAACTTAGGCTATTAGTACTAGGATCTCTAGCTAAATAAATTAAAAAAAATAAAAGCAAACAAATTGTTCAATTTGGTGAAGAGGAAGATTGGAAGTAGGAGATATATCGGTTCATTTTAAGAAGAAGAAGGCACAACATTGGAATTGGAATAGAAAGGGGAGAATAACAATGAAAACCCAAGACAATGAATTTTTTACAAGTAGGTCCTTGATAAATTTTTTTGAAAAATCAGTTATAAATATTAAGATGTACCTAAAATAAGAATTCTAACTGCAAATAAGACATAAATTCACCAGTACAAACAAGTTAATCTACACCAGTTAAAATAGCTTATCTAAACTGGTTTTATAACTGGTGTAGATAACTAGCAAGGAAATATGATTTTTTTTTCAAAATTTCTTTATCTACACCAGTTACTTTCCAATAACCAATGTAGATATATGGTTATCTATACTGGTAGTGGTAATGAATAGGCCAAACTCCTATTAAAAGTTTACGCCTTGACCTATTTTAGACCCAACCCAACCTATTTACTAAATAAACTTAGCTCAGGTTCAGGCCTTTAATTAGATTTATTTAGTTAAATAGGCCAAACTTATTTTTTCAAATCCTAGCCTGAGTCCAACAAGGTGGCCTATTTAGTATTTACACACACACACACACACACACACACACACACACACACACATTACGTAATATATCACATGCACATTAATTTCACCATTGGATTTTTAATCAATCAATTCTTCTTTGTTTCCAGTTATGTTTTCAATCAAATTAGACTTATATATTAATTTTAATGTTATTACTTTATTATTGTATTATATTAGTAGTTGGTAAGTCCTTTTAATTATTATAATTGTAATTGATAAATCAAATTATATATAATATACTAATAGTTCTAAGGTATATTTGAGACTTATAAAACTAAAATGAGAGCTTATTTAAAAAGTTTGGTTTTAAGTAGGTTTTTAGGTCAGGCTAGGCTCAGACCTCTAGCTTACCATACAGGCTTAGGCCTATTTAGCCAAAGTCTAACTCAGCCTAACCTATTTACACCTCTATTAACACGAGTTACGGACATAATTAACTGTAAAACTGTCCAAGAGGGGGTGTGAACTGGGCTAATTAAAATTTAATTCAAATAATAATAATGCAGAATTAAAGATAAGTAAGAAACAATATCACCAAACAAGGCTGGGTGAAGAGAAGAGAAGCTTCGCACACGAAGAGTTTATCCTGGTTCAACTTTATCCACTTGAGCCTATATCCAATCCTTAAGGCACTCTTGAGATTTTTCACTATATTCATTAAGATTAAATTGGGCTCTTATTTGCCACAATACAGTACAGACTTCTTACTAAGTTTGAAATTCTCCCCTTACACAAAGGTGATCAAAAATTTTCTTAAGCTCCACGAGCTTAAATTTCCTCTATTTTGTATATGAAAAATAAGATAAACAGAGTAAATTCAAAAATGAACTACTATTGTTAAAGTCTATCTTAAAAAGAAAATTGTACAATCAATGAAGCTCACAAAGACAATAAATATCGAAGCAGGAAGTTGGTTATATAAGATTGCATATTTTGTAAAATCACTTCTCGGTGTCCGCTTCATAAATGAGTCATATTTATAGTTGATGCTGAGGATAAATCTGTTAGACTCATGTAATTAGCCGTTTGAGTGTCGTTCTTCTTCTTCTTCTTCTTGTGTTTCTTTGAGAATAAGATGATAAAATTTGCTTTACGGCAGAGTTGCTTGTTTTCGACGACTTAAGAAAGTAATGGCTATATGCACTTAATATTCTGACAAAATTACCATTGAGATGAAAACTAGAAGAAAGAATGCTATTCAAGTATAGAGAAAAATAAAGGAAGGAGTAAAAGTATAAATTGACCTGAGAATGAGTTTAGAAGACTTCTAGATGGAAGAATATGAGATCCCATCACTTAGATTATGAAAGAGATTCAAAACGAGTGAGCTTCAATTTGCACAAAATAAGATTGAAAAAACAAAGCATAAATCTTCATTATTGTACCAGTATAGGCAAAACTCATATGAAAAGAAGTGCTACGTTAATATATGAGTGAAAAGAATTTGTAAGAATTGATAAATGCTTAATCCAACCCAAAGTTGTGTTAAAAAGAATTTTAAAATATGTAAGAATGTTAACACAACACTTAGAATAAGAAGAGAATAAAAACGTGGAATGGAAAACACACAGACACTTTTAGACTACGGATTGTTTGATTCTAAGAGTAGTTGAAACACTTGTTGGAAATTAGAAATAGTCCTAAGAAATTAAAATCAAGTTAAATGCTTAATCTTTAAAAGAAACTCAATTAGATCAAATACAGATTAAGCTTCTAAGTTTCTTGATAATATAGTAACAGGGGATAATGAAAAATCATCATTAAGAGTTTAATCCAGCCAAAGTTGTGTTTAAATGATTTTAGAAGTATTATAAGGTTAACACAACTCAAAAAACTGAAAAGAACTGATATTGAATGAGTTTCGAAGAGTTCGTAAACAAACACAAAAACAGAGCATGAAAAATGATGTTTATATCGAAATAAGTGAGATTATATGTTAAGAGATCTTTTGTACTAGTATAAGAGTGCTTTACACGGGTATAAGATAAGACTAAACTCAAATAAAGGTTTATACCGGTATAAAGGGCTTTGTACAAGAATAAGGAAGAATTATATGGTTTACACCGGAATTGCAGGCACAGTTATGGAATAATATTTGTCATTTGTAACAGTCATAACTCTTTCATTTTGAGGTAAAATTAGACAAATGACATATCGTTGAAAATCTATGGATGTCTAGTTTCCAAAGAAATCAGATTCACTCCGAAAATTCAAAGTATTTTGAGAGATATGATCAAAAAGGTGAGCAAAGGGTCAAGGACGTTTTACAGGGGAACGGAAGCTTCAACAGTTAACTTTGAAAAATCATATATATTTTATATGAAATCCATTTTGAACGAAATTAAGTTCTTTGGGAAGATGTTCAAGTCTATTTCCAAATGAATGAAGTTTCACATTAATAGGATTTATATATTAAGAAATATAGAGAAAATACTGATTAAGTGTTAAAACCAAATACATCTAAAACTCTTAATTCAAAACATAAATATTAATAGCATAATTTGATTCAAGCTAAAGCATTTTCAAAAACCAAGATATAATCAAGAAAAGATTTGAGATAATCAAATACTTATCTCGATAATAAATTTAAGCTTTGGATAAGATGACACAAGGAATAGGGAGTCAGAGATTAAACATATAGACCAATACTCTTAATTGCCATTAACACATATTAGTATCTTTGCAAAAATAAAGTCTTCTCTATTTTGTAATCATCAAAATCAAGGTTCAACATTAACCAGTGGGGGTGTATAGATAACCACTGGTTATGGACATAACTAGTGTAGATGTATAGATATTTACATTAGTTATGGCCATAACTGATGTAAATAATGTAGTTTGAAAAAAAAAACAAGGTTCTCGTTTCTTTC